CTGCAAAGAGGGAGACAGAGGAAAGCCGGCCTATTGTAACTCAAGAGAACTCCCCAGCAGGAGCTTTGTGGGAAGTGTCAGTTCCCTTGAAAAGGTAATGTAAAAAGGGAAAGAATCTGCTCCTCTGTTTTCTGAAATATATGTCACTGAGATTGAAAGATTTGTTATTACTAGTGAAGATTTTAGTTTCTGCTTTAGACTACCATTACAGAAAAGTATATAGAATGTAATGCTGTATAGCAATTTTTTTCCACTCTACATGTGATTCTTGAACAGAATGTCTCAAATTGAACACAGCTTATCTTAAAGCTTTCATTACAAAAGCAAACAAAGCACACTGTATGGAGATGAGCCACAAGGTTTCCTGGACTCTAATAGTAGTCCATTTCATCTCATCTTCTATTAAGGAGCCTTCTTTGCTGTAAGGAAATAATTATATTTGGAATTGTAGTTCCTACTATTGTTCTGGCCTTGGGAGTAAGTCTTTCAGTGCTAGACATTATCAGAGTACTAGTTTAGATTGCTTGCTAATATTTTAGTAACCTGTTATCTGATGCTGCTGTTTGACACAGTGTTGTGCAATGGATATCTTTTTTTACTTATGGAGTTATAGTAGGCCTACCCCTGGGAGATTGCCTTAAAATTGACAGTGTAGGCTGAAGACAACAGTTCTTAGAGATATTATTTTGGTAAGCTTATGTATTTGAGACGTGCTAAATTGTTACCCTGTACTAGCTCAGTATTTGATTTTTGACTAAGATATCCTATAGCAGATCAATTTGTCAAGCAGTCATTTCTTAAATGCATCTCTCCCTCCCCCCATTGATTGCTTTTTGTTTTCTGTTATTCCAAATCTGAGAAATTAATTTCAAAAGAATATATAGCTGGGTTTCTTAAATTTTCTCTCTGTCCCCTTGGATATGTGACATCTTTTTATTTTAAAGCAATTTAGATAAAAAAATAATTATATTTTGATATAAATATATTACATTACTGATGCTAAAGTAAATGATACAAATATGCAGAAGTTACCAGAAATCAGCTGACGATTTCAAATTTGAAGTAAAGAACATAAACAACTTCTACTGAGATTTTATTGTTGCATTTTTACTTCATTTGCTAAAGATTTAGAGTGTGTTCATAAATATGGCAGCTGAAATGAATGTGAGCTCTTAGATGTTTGTTATAACTAGTAAATAGATCAAGACATACAAAGTAACGGCAGCAATGTTGATTAGCCTACTTCCAGTTAAAATTGTTTTTTCATCTATTTTATGCAAACTTCATTCTTTCTCCACCAACATATATGTGATTGTGAAGCATTTTGCCAACCTGTTTAGGGTAATATAAAGGTTTCTTTCTAATATTTTCTGAAAAAAAATCTTACAAGAAAAGATGCTGTTGGATATCAGAACGTACGTGTACGTGTGTGGGGGGTTAAATCTCTTTCTTGCTATTGTGTAGTGCAGAAATATGACAATTGTAGATACTTGTGTCAAATTATGAGCTTTGTTTGCTTTGCAAATGTCACGTTTTAGTCTTTTTAATGAACATATTGATTACAAAATGAGCTGGGTTAGGACAAGGACAGTTGATTCTAGATACTTATGTCATAGCACGGGTTGCCTTAGAGAGAGCATCTGTGTTGAAAGATTCCTCCTTTACTGAAATACACCACTTTTAATATTGGTAGAGCTATTGGGTTTGAGTCATTCCCTCCAAGTCTGATTGATAAGTGTATATACATCTGGGGAAGGAGAAGGGAGGCTGGAGCCTAGGATTCCCACAGCTAAGCAGAAAAGTTTAAAATGGATAGAAGACAATCTGCACTTAGGAGCACATCTGAAAATTCATGGAGGTAAAAACCCACCAGTTTAGGTTAGAAATATGAGACCCCCAGAACATGAATCCATTTGTAGGAGCATGGAGACTGTCCAGAGGAATATATTGAGTCAGGATGGAATGTTATGTTTTTTGTGTTTTTTTTTTCCATATTCCAAACAGGCTGTCATCAAATTTGATCACAGGAAATGTAAGTATCCACATTAAAAGACTGATTTGCTACACATTACTTTAAAAGATTGAAATATTAACATGGAGCAAGAAGTAGTGCAAAGTTGTTCATTTACCAAATATAGGTTTCTAAAATATTTACACAGAATGCAGTAAATAAATTGGATACCATCAGTTTTGAAAGTGTAGACTGTTAGCTAGGGGAACCTTTGTTTGGATGATGGATGCACAGGGACTTTCCAAGAATGCTCAGCAGAAATTTCTGCAACCATGAAGAATAGATTACATAATGCCAATATTTTGGTGAACTGGACTTCAGTTTTATGACTGATAAATATGAATTCATACCTTTAATATGTAAGATCTTCTAAATACTCAGCAGTATCTCTGTGCTGAACATTTCAGAGTGGCTTAGATATTGGTTACTTATATATTAATGTAAAAAACTAGGGAAGACATAAAATTAATGTCAGCATACACAGTTATAATAAAACATCTGATTTTAAAGTGTTGAAATTAGAACTAGAGAAATGGTTGTGTATCTGTGGTTAAGATGATGAAAAATTCAGCTATATGAAAAGGACTTAATTTAGATCCTTAATAGTTACAAAACCAACGTCTGTAAATTTTTTAAGAGATTGCATGCAGCCAGTGTCTTAAGGAGTTATTGTACTGTATGTTCGTTAATACCTTAAAGTTCTTATAATGGAGAGTAAATGTGACATTCTAGTACCAGATAAGCTAAATGTTTTGAGTTAGCTTATGAAAGGTAGTGAGATCAAGTTGACAATTAAAAAAAAATCTCCTATATTTCAATATTATGTTTTTGCTACTTTAAAAAAAATGGCAAGTTAATCAATGGAGTGATGATCATGCAATATTTTTCTTAATGTAAATGAGAACATGTGGCTAAACATCTAAAAGGCATTTCATAACAAAACTCTAAATCATGAGGTAAAGATGTTCTCAGTAGCAAAAATTTTACCACTTGTTTGCTTCTTCTTTTGCAATTTCTAACAAGAGGCATTGAGGGGGAAAAAATTATTATTCAGTTTTAGAAACAAGCTTTTTCTTTTAATTGGTTTTTGAATAAAAAGTAAAATCAGGATAACATTTTTGAGAATAGCTTGGTTTGATCAGCTCTCTGTATGTATTGAAGCTCAAGCTGAGGTTTTTCAAAGAACAAAATGTTTAACAGTCTCTTCATTAACTACAGGTGAATTCTCAATTATGTGATTGATACAGAGATGTTGTGAATGAATGTGTTTTGTAGTTTGTTTTAAGTCATTTCTCCTGACTGTGTTCTATGCTATTCTTCAAATAACAACAGAGGTCAGCTATTGAATAATTTCTAATATTCAAAATGATGTTGCTAAAGGTAAAATACAAATATAACATACAAAACTGAATACAACTTCACTGTAAAAGGTGTCTCCTGACTAAGCTTTATCAAAATAAAACAATTAGCATTATAGATGAGGTCATATAATACACATAAATGAGCTAATCATGCATTCTTATTCTACTAAAGCTACCATTAAAGTGTCTGGAACTTTAAGATTTGGCCCATAATTTGGATAAGAGGGGCACTCAAAACATTCTGAATTGAAAAGTTATTAACCTTTTTTCCCCTCAGCATTTTTACATTTTGCTGGCAAGTCAAAAACTTCTGATTAGCTGTATGCAATGCCAAGAATTACTTTTTCCTTGTCAAGCATCGTGCTGTCCACCCTATAACATTCTGGTGGTGGAAGAGGGCCTACATAGCTGGGATTTTCAGCCATGTTGGAAAAATTGGGGGGGGGGGGGGAGGGGGGGGAGACCTTTGCAGCCCTTGATACCCAACGCTTGGGGAAGGCTACTGAGACTTTTTCCAATTTTTTACCTATGAAACTATGAAATGCATACTCAGGCTGGGTACTTCTACGTACATGAGTTTACCACCTTGGGTGATTAATTGCATGTCCATTCTTTCCTTCAGAAGCTGACTAAAAACAAAGCAGCAATCATAGCCTTTGGTGTTATGCGCTAGGAAAGTGTAGCCCCAAAACTGTGTCCATAAACAACTGAATAAAGTCCAGGAGGCATATGTTCCCTTATACTCCCATTCTCCTTCAGATTTCCCTTCCACACCATCTTCTTCCACTATGTTGTTTCAGCTGCTATTTTATGGAGAGTAACTGCCTTTTTTGACAAGGTCATACCTCCACGTGTTTTCATACTGTCCCGTGACTGGCTGAATTGAAAAGTTAATAACCTTTTTTCCTTCAGGTATCTGATGTCCAAAGCAGTTGCAGATCACCATCTCCCTCTCCATGTGACATCACTAGAAAACACTAGACTGGTGATGTCACACATACCACAAAACCCCGCTGCAGAATGGAGCAGGCCTATTAAGGGTAAGGTAAGTTTTTTCCCCTCCACCACCACCCCTTTTGAACAATATTACATGGTTTTATAAGACTCCTAGTTTTCTTTACATTCTGTCCCTTAAGACATAAAATTAAGATTAAAAAAAAAAATCTTATAAAACTACATAATATTGTGGCTGTGTGTGCTTACTTAAAAAGAAAAAAACCTCTCACACGCCCCGCCTTAACCCCCAGTAAAGTTTTGTCCTTACCCTGTATATCCATATCCTGGCTCCAGTCTGCTTTGGGGTTCCATGATGAGTATGCCATAATCAGAATACTCTATGCTGGAGTACCACAGGAGAGTGGAGTCAGCATTTCCTGGCTGCTCTGGATGTCAGAAACCTAATTTTAAAAGGTAAGCTTTCAGTTCAGAGTGTGTTGAATCTCTCTTACTTCAGTTTTATGAAAACATTCAACTCAAGTCTAAAATGTATTTGCATTTTTGTTAAATTTAGCTGTAAGCCATGATTATAGCTGTAAGCCACATTTTTATACTTACCTTTCTCCAGGCTTTTGAACTCCTTTGTTCTATTGTTAAAGATATAAGTTGTGCTACCAGAACAAAAAAGTGTTTTATTTGTCATTGTCTGTAACAGGATGGTATCTAGAAGTCATCACACTGAGTACTATAAGGACAATTTTTATCCAAGATAAAAAGTGAAGGGCACCCCACCTCCAACTTCTGGCAGAAGCCCCACCCCTACTGGCAGTCACATGTCCCACTTGCCCTGGAAGTCCCTCCCCTCTTACAGTCACATACTCTGTTTATTCCACTTCTCTTTGTTCCTGGGGATCACCATTTTGTAAAACATCATACCCCATGTGTTCACAGAATGCCCTGTGATTGGCTGGCAGGACCAGCTGCCCCTGCTGGTACATCAGAACAGGAAGTCCCTTTCCACTACATACATGGAGGTTGCCATTTTATTTCAGGCAGCATTTTATAGCAGGGAGCTGCCATTTTATAAAATGTTATAACCCATGTGTTTTCATACTGCTCTGTGATTGGCTGACTGCCATTTCTTGACACCATCATACCCCACATGTTTGCATGTGATCTCCTCTCATGGTTAGTTGCTAGTGGTTTTTTTGGGGACAAGCAAAAAATGGAGGGTAACAATGGGAGGTAGCCAGAGAACTTCCTTTTCTAATTACAATGCACACTCAGTGTCAGGAGCTGAAAGGCCGGCGACAGAGGAAAGCCGGCCTATTGTAACTCAAGAGAACTCCCCAGCAGGAGCTTTGTGGGAAGTGTCAGTTCCCTTGAAAAGGTAATGTAAAAAGGGAAAGAATCTGCTCCTCTGTTTTCTGAAATATATATGTCACTGAGATTGAAAGATTGCATGTTTGTGTTGCCCTAGTTTACCTAGGAGCACTTGGGCATTCTTCTTATACTGTGGATGCACATTATCCAGCACTTCCTTAACAACAGGGTCGGGGTCCACAGGAGTCTCAAGGGGCTTTTCTGCTTCTGTCTCATTTTGTTCTGGAAAAACAGTTAATTTCCCCCTTTCCTGATCACTCTGCTTCACATGTGCCAAGTACACACCTTAGCTTTTTCATAGGCTGTCAAGCCTGGTTTCTGGATCATTTCAGCATCCTAACACCATACTAACGTTCATTGGGTAAAAGGAGGAGACAGGTCTTGGGATAACCAAGACTGTCATTTGGCTTAAAATTCCCAACCCTTTTTCCCCCCTCAGATAGGAGGATGACGCATATATTAACATGCAGCAGATATTCAGACAAGGGGATCTTGTTCAGCGTGACCTTCCTGTGCACAGACAACCCCAGTTTGTAATGTAGCTCTTTTGCTCTGCTTAAGAATTCTGCATCTGTCAGATCCCTCACTGCTGTATGTGCTGTGAGACTCCCAGCAAAACGGAGAGTATCGTCACTGTTATTTAGATCAATTAAATAGCGCTGCTTTTTGTCTAACTTTGGAATGGGGGATAGACTGTAGGGTTCTGCATACCCCACCCCCAATGGCTCTTACAATACTGATAGCCAGGTGGAAAGTCTGATGAAAACGCAGCACGCTCTCACGTTGCAAGAGAGTACTGACCAGTCTAAAAATGTCTCTGCATTCATAGTGCTTAAATTAATAACAGGAGAATATAAAGAGTCGTGCATGCTGACAACTCCCAGACTGAGCTGAGCATAATCACCAGGTTCTAACAGCTGGCATAAATGGTCAAAAATTTGCTCTACGCCCCAAACAAGTGTTTCATCAGGTATCGCTACATGAAGCTTATCTAAATTAACAAATCTGTATTCTTTGACAGATCACCTAGCCCCGAGCCTCTGGATCGGCCATTCCCACTGCCGAACATGCTCCATGGAAGCCACAGGTCAGGCTGCCACCCTCTCCACCACCCCTGCTACATTTGAGGGTGGGGGTAAAGCAGGGCTTTCAAGTGTCCCCTGGGGGCTTGGGAAGGCTGCCGGAGGCCCTTCCTGGGAGACATCCTCATTGTGAACATGAAGGGGCACAGTCTTGCTCTGCAGGGGGCTGCAGTAACCAGGAAGTCCCTTCCAGGGGGTCATCTTCTGTCCTAGTAGGAGACATATTCACTGCCCCATCAGGTTCAGAAAAGCAGTTTGCATTTAAGGGCCTTCATGGTCCCCATAACCCTTTGCCAGTCTAGAGTTGTGACAGTGTGATCAGCCCTTCTATGCTCTCCTTGCCTGCCGCTCCTCTGTACCTGATAATAATCATGGTCTTTCAGTTCTGCAGCACCCCCATTGCCCTTACTGCTCCCCTTGCTCTTTCTGCAGTAGCTGTGGCCTCTAAGAGCATGGGTCTCCAGTCTGCATCCCAAAGCCTGGGTCTTGCTGCTTCCGCAGTAATCATGGTCTAACAGGACAGTCTTGACTGCATGAATGGTCTTCTGCCTCTTATTAGCAGCATTGACCTAAGGATAAGGAAATACAGAGAGCACAAGCCTGCACCCTGTAATGGTCTTACAGGTAGCTGTAAGCTCCCCCACAGCCATAGGCAAAAGGGAGATCCCCCCACCTCCACCACCCACCCTCTCTGTGTGAAACTTACCTCAAAATATAGTTCCTGATTCACGATCCATCAGCTGGTCCTTCTGGTTCGCAGGGACTTTTTTGGGAAGCCCTTTGGGGCTTTTCCTTATCGTCCCCATGCACACATTCTTCTGAAGTTGGCATCTTGTTCTGGCTTTCCATTTTAGCGGTCAGCGTTGCCTGTCTTGCAGCACCATGCAAAGCCCAGAGGCTGCCCCAGTAATACTGTATTGTCATCCTGGCAGTTTGGGGCTGAGTGAGGGGACCTCATGGTCCAGCTCACAGGATCGGGCTCTTCTTTGTATGTGACAGGGTTTGTGCAGGGAGTCCCTTGGTGGGCCTCCTGGGAGGGGTCTGTAGCACTTGGGCATGTTCTACCTTGTTCACCTCCCCCCCCCAATACCCTTTTGGTGCCCCACCCTCTTGAACTTCCCCCCACCCCAAACATATTAGGGCTTGTTCAGCCAACTTGTAAAGTGTGTGTGGGGGGGGTGCGCGAATCTACTTTTAACTTTTATTTACTTTCTATTTAGCTCTTATTACAGAACGTTTTATACATTTCATAGCTACACTTTTATGGATAAATATATTTATATATCTTTATACACGTGTGTACATATATACACTCTATATACACATATATAAAATAAATAAGTGTGCCTATGTATAAATAAAATATATCAATACATATTTGTACATTCCTTTATATATTTCTATAAATATATAT